GGCGTTCACTAATTTGCCATTCTTCCATCACATAGCTGCCTCTTTCCATAAAACCCACCCAGGAGGGCCGGTACTGACTACCTGCCAGCCAGTCCCCCTACAACACCAGTCATGGAACTCCCATTTTCTCAGGGAACAGCACTTCAAGGAAAAAAAAAAAGTTTCTAGGTCAGTTTCTTCATCCAGTTTTGTTTACATTTAGCACTCTATAAACATATAAACAAATTGGGATTTACTCCGTTCACTTAAACAGAAATTACATTCTATCTTCCTTCTACAATATCGCATGTTATCTTCCTACCGCAGAGTATCTACTGCTCTGTAACAAGCATAAAGCATTTAGTTTTAACAGCAATTCATCCAACAAAGCTCAGTTCTACTTTGCACTGTGCTATGCTAGCAAAACAGTAGCATTCAAATTAACGACAGGAATAGCAATAAAGGCCCCAGATGTCCAGAAGGAATGCAAGGGCTGAACACAAACTCGACTCACCGAACAATACAAAATTATCTAACGACGGATCACCGGACTGGCTTGAAGAACTAAAGGATATGTCATCTTGGGAAATGGGGGAAGTTAGTGGATTGCAGACTTTCATCAGGCAATACCTATCCCAGCTATACCACCATTAAGATGATAAGCCTTGGGGATGTGCTGAGAACTGGACAATTTGAAGGGCCTACACATTTGTAAAAAGAAAAAAAAAAATATCAAAAAACAAAACAAAAAAAAACCCACCCAAAACAAAAAAAAAACCCACTGCAATAAAGTTGGCAAAGATAGCCAAAACAGTTTATGCTGCATGCAAGCAAGAAACAGCTGCATTAAAAGAAAGTGAAAGTTAATCAAGCTGATCTCCAAAAGCTGGACAATCATAGAATTGATCGACTCTCAAGTGCATATGAATTCTAACAGAGCTATAACTACATGATCATTTACATGTTTCGCAGAATTTTTTTCTCATTCAGTAATCTTTAATTTTTTTTTTTTACTGTTACGGAGGAAACAGCATTTTTCCCAACCTTCCTCTCACTATGTCTTTCAGCTATAATGTTGAAGTACTTTATAAAGATTTCAGCTTTAACTAGAATCCTAGGATGGTAACTTTAGCTTAGACAAAAAAAGTTTGGTAAAAGTTATAAGCAAATGAACACAAAAGTCTTACTGAGGAAAATGAAGATCAAAATTAAGGGACTGGTTTAGAATCTGTTGGTCATGCACAACTAAAATCTTGAGCAGCAAGAAAAATCATCTGCTAAGTTGCAAGAACCCCCCACTTTAAACCTCTGCCATTGACTTATGTCACTTAAAGTAATCCAGCTTCTAGAAGTTCATTGATAGCCTTGCAAAGGTCCTAATCCTGGAAAAGATTCTGGGGCTTACCTATACATGGTATTATTCATGAATCTTTATTCCTAAACTATAGCTCTTTGTTGTAGTTTCAGTTAATCCACTTACAGGAGAAGGGCAAGCATTCATACCTACTAGACATTACACTTAGGAACTGATCTCTTACCTAAATTTGCATCAGGTTCACATACAGACTAAAATATTTCCGAATGTACAGTTCCTGCAACATGCTAATTTTTGAATACTTCTGCAAAAAAAATCAACTTTCAACCTCTCTAAACACATCTATGAATATGATTTGGTTTTCCTTACACATCTTAGTGGTACAAAAAACAGAAAAATGAGAGAGAAAAATTGCACAGCAGTTTTAAAAGTCATCTTTTTCATGAAGGTAGTAGTAGTCCTTAAGTATTTCTTCAATCAACTGTCAAAGCATTATTCAAGCAGAACACGAAATACTAGCATACTATTTTAATAACACTGGAAAACTGACTGAATAAATTAACAGGAGATCTGACTTACTACAGTTGTTCTTTTGCTCACTATTTACATGTACAATTTAGAACTTTATAGAAACAGGACATTAGAAATAAAAATGTGAAAACTGAGAAAGAAAAAGAATGGAGAAAAAAGCAAGGAATTAAGAGCACCGGCTGACCTACCGAAATCTCTCCATCCCATTTATCACTGATCGGAAAAGAATACAAATCCCATAGAAATCAGCTCAGTTCATATTGATCACTGACTGACGTTCTGAAGAACATCTTTGTTTAGGTAAACGCCGCCCCCCCCAAGCATAATACTAAAATGCATGCAAATATTAATTGACGCAAATGAATCTTCCTTTCAGCTTTCACAAAAGCTTCCATTTCCACCCTAAGAGCTCTACAAGCAATACTTCATTAAACCCAGCTGCCTAAAATTCATAGCGAAGTTCAGCACCAAGTATTGCAAAAATTACAACTCTACTTGGTCGAACTTCTCTCCTCATCTTCCCTCCCTGTGTATATCTAGGAACGGATAGGGAGCCAAAAGATGTCCTGATTTTGTTCCGTCAGTTCAGTGCATTTATTCCTTAGGAAGTACTGAATACCTTGAAGAAATCTTGGCCTCCACTCTGTGAATTGAACTCTCAGCCCTCCTAATTTTTAAGTGCAACTATTGCCAAAAGTCAGAGAAATCTCCAAAATTTCATCCAAGGAATGAATTTCCTCTACCTTCTTCAAATACATATTACCTCTCTCCATCCGTACAGGAAGCCATGCTGGATGCATCAGCTCCAGGCTGCTAATGCCCAGTAACAAACCTTCTGTTCCCAATCAAGCTCACTGTGAAGCTAGCCAAAAGCCTACAATAAGTTCCCCTCACCAAAGAAAACACACTAGACCCACAAATTCAAGGTTCTGGCCAAAACATGGGCAGAAGTTAGCTGGAAATTCTCCATCAGTCCCATTAAAACTATCAATAGGTCCCTGTGAAAGCTATCAACAGGGTCATGGGCAGATGGCCATTATTATCCTGACGGAAACTCTCTACAACAATTGACCATGATCTGTTCTGCCTGAAAAAGCTGGCAGAGATTTAGAGCAGCATATTGCTTTCAGTTCAGTGTTGAGAAACTCCCATCACTACCATTTGTGTAGAAATACAGCTTTACCAGCAAGATCTTTGACCGCTGACAAAAGAATACAAACTAAGTTTAGTATGTTGATGCAATCTGCTTCTTTGTGGCACATAATTACTACTACCAGCAGGATAACTTAATTTACTTACTCTGGAACCTTCAACAGCATTATCAACCGAGTAAAACACAAAGGTATAAAAAGTTAGGTGTATGGACTGTCCAGCTTCTGCAAATAAGTCACAGAAAAATAGAGTAGAACAGAACAGTAGAACAGAGTAGAACAGAACAGAGTAGAACAGAACAGAGTAGAACAGAGTAGAACAGAATATTTCAGTTGGAAGGGACCTACAACAATCATCTAGTCCAACTGCCTGACCAATTCAGGGCTGACCAAAAGTTAAAGCATCGTATTAAGGGCATTGTCCAAATGCCTCTTAAACACTGACAGGCCTGGGGCATTGACCGCCTCTCTAGGAAGCCTGTTTCAGTGTTTGACCACCCTCTCAGTAAAGAAATGCTTCCTCATGTCCAGTCTAAATCTCCCCTGAAGCAGCTTCGAACCATTCCCACGAGCCCTATCACTGGATACCAGGGAGAAGAGATCACCACCTCCCTCTCCACTTCCCCTCCTCAGGAAGCTGTAGACAGCTCTTCCAAGTCACCTGTATGCCAAGTTCTTGGACATAACACATGAAAGTATCAGAAATCATTCACAAACTAACACACCAACCCGATCAGCAGGCTCTTGCCAGTGGATTTTCAGTGAGGCAGTCCCAGCCTACATCAAGGACTTGTTCCTTAGCAGAGCTTTTATCCCAACACAATTTTTATAACAAGGTCAATGTAAACCAGCAGATTTCATAAAGGATCAACCCCTTTTTAAAACGGGTAGGTTCAGGAAGAAACACACTCTTCTGAACTACAGGGTTTCCACACAGTAGGTTCTTTGTAGCAGAAATAAAGGGGAGGGTGTTAAGAAAATTTCTTTTTACCATTATTTTTTGTATTTTGTTCAAACAAAGAATTAGATCAAGGAGAGCCCAAATGTTTTTTCCTTAAAGAAAAGGGATGAGGGAAGAAAAGGAAAGGGAAACATGCACAGAAAATTCCTGATGCCATGGAACATAATCCCCATTCCAGTATTGAGAAGAAAGTAGACAAAGTCTGACCTGAACTGTATGGACTGCTTCATAATAAATGTAAAATAATAATGAAACTAGTTACCTAAGATTTCTTCACTGAAATGGGCATAAGAGTATATCAGCCTTCATGCAGGAAGAAAAATTTGACTGTGTACAAGTTGGGCAAAATCAATTCCCAGCCTCTTAGGAGAGGAAATAAAAAAACCCCAAGCAACCATCAAACCTTCTTGCTCCCATCTCCCTTCCACAAAACAGAATCCATGCACTGGAATACAGTAGCTACGATATTGGATCATATAGTCTAGTATTAGTACACCAGTATACTGGACAAATAGCAGCATACTGGATATACATATGTATATATACATCTGCCAGTATAGTGGACATACATACTAGCCTTTCATCTCTGACAACAGCCAGAACTAGATGCTTCAGAGGGATATTCAAGACTCCATAGAAGCCAGATACAAGACATGCTCTTGTAACACATCCAAGAAATGGACTACATTGATATTAAACATCACGGTTAAGCAATTTCAGTAACTTGGTCATTTTCAGTTTTCACAACTCTAAGCGATGTAGTATCTATGTAGGCATGCAATGCTACTGGTTTATGAAACTGAAAAGGGATGATAGAAATTGATCTTATGTAAAAACAATTATATATCTGCTGTCAGAGGTATGTTTGATAGCGTATCAGAGAAAGTATAGTAATACAATGTATTAAATTTGAAACAACTATTAATTTTACACCAGTGCAACTGGTGTTCAGGTATTTGAAATTGCTTTATTGCAGACTATTTAACTGCAAATAATTTCTCAAGTATTTGAGTGACATAAGCACAAAGTGGTATGAAATTATAAATATTTTAAATTGACTTACCATCAGAACTTGTTAGAACAAAGCTCTCGGCATGGGACTGCTTCTTCCCACCTACACTTCTGGGAAACCAGTGAAGATCTATGGGATAAATATCATCTGGAAGTTTCACTACTCGAGTAGTCTCACTAGTTAAAAGGTTCCATTTCATAATTTGGTGATCATCGCTGCAGGAATATAGCTCGTCAGCTGTAGTCCATCCCACACAGCTAACCAACTCTTTATGTTTAATTAAATTAAGGAAGTCTGAAAATTTTAATTATTAAAAATAAGCTTACAAAAGATCTCATCTAGGTTATACAAAACTGAAGGAACAGTACTGGAAGATTATTTTGATAAGATTCCATGCAATGTTTTATATAAAGAAAACATTTTTTTCTTTGCTCTTTTGCTTCAAGAAAAGAGCTGGTAGAAATTCAGCAAAAAATAAAGCAAACCATATTGTGTAAAAATATAATTCTTCTTATGATGCATACTTATTGAAACACAGCTGAAATGTTGGGTTACACCTCTAAAAGTGTCTTTGTGCGCAATGCAGGCGCAAAACACCCGACTGTCATTCAAATGTGTCAGTTTATTAACGCCACATCATACATAAATTGTTGACATATCTAATTTTTAGTAGAAGAATTACAATTTCGTTTACATCTGCTACATGCATATCTTATTACAAGCAAATAGATATATCACTACTCCTATTTACTGTCTAGGAAACCTTTTAACTTATTGCTACAAATAAGAAAGGAAAGAAAAACTCAAAACTTTCTAGCAAAACCTTGACAGCTTCTGAACGGAAGGTATTACTCTAATAGTGTTCAACATCTCTTAAAATGTTGCCCTTAAAAGGCAGCACTGAATGCAAGGTGAAGGAAAGAAAAAGAAAAAAAAAGCCACCTGCAATTTGCAAATACTTTACTATGACATTTATGATAAAGAAATCCTTTCTGGAAAAGAGGCTATTCAGCATTAACATGCTTTTCTACGGTTTATTCTGAGACAAAGGATATGTTTTGGTTCCTTTAAAAGTGAAGTCTTCAGTCTCATTTCTGTTGTTCAGATGGAGCATTAAAAAAAGATATGTAGTATGTTATGACTGTAATAAAACAAAGCAAACACATATATAAGTAGCCAAAATTAAAAAGGAAGACACTAACACCAAAATAAAAAGTTTTGAAATAAGTAATACTACATTAGTACTGTGGCAAAATACGCACCAAAAGAGACCTGAGTTTTCAGGGAATTCTGTTTGTACAGTACCCAACTCCATATTTATCTTATCGCTTACTATAAACACACTGGACAATTGAAAGAACAAGTGATGCTAGGACCATCTTGCTGAAACATTATAAGTTGAAACACTGAAGTTCTCTTGTGCTGACAAATAGCCATGAAGGTAGCATGGGAAAACCTGGAATCGCAAACTTTTCAAGGAACTTCATGCTTAGCGAGAGCACTGTGAGAAAATTTAGAGGAAAAAGCCATACTATGAAAATAATCCTGCTGTGACAAAATGATACAACGTCCTAGTCTTTCATCCATCCCTATTTGTAATGTCCATGATACTTTACTGCAACACAGTAATTCCATAGGCAGTTCAATGGGGTCCCACCTTCTCAACCCCTTCCCTCCTGTGACAGCAAAAGCCTTCATGTGTCTGTGCCTGGACAGGATAGAGACACTGATCCAGGTTAAAACTTTTTTGTCCTTCAGGATGAAAAGAAGTGCAAGCAAGAGGGTGGGAGCAGTTGGCATATTCTTAGGAGAGCATGATGATGCACAATGTGGCCTTCTAATCTTCTGGAATTTTTTCACTATAAAAATGACTGTGTGTCAAACAGTTACTATGCAGAATTTAAGAAGCATTAAAAGGACAATAGTTCTAAAACATAATTTTCTGTGCCCAAAGAATAAAATAAGTTATTTTCAACCCTACTTTACATTAATTTATAAACACACACAATAGTTATTTTTATTTTAAAATAATTATATCTCTCATACTTGAATGTCTAATTTCGTTCTCCTACCTCACATTCATTTGGATGCACGGATCTTATCTGCTTCTATTTTCCATGCACACCACAACTTGCTAAACCCACCTTTTCAGTTGCTGCTTGACAGTTTTTAATTGTTTATTTCTCTCTTAGGATTTCAGCGGGCATGTCACTATTGTCAGCTTCCAGCTTGCAATCCCTCCCTGCTCCCACTACACAGGCAACCAAAATCCTTAAAAGATTCTTGCAGAATTCTATTATTTTACTTTGAAAGACAAGGCCAGAACTTTATTATAATTTTTGAAAACGGCTTAAACACTCCTTATGTGCACCAAGATGGCAGAACGCTTACCCTTATGTCGCACAGCTGCACCTGCTGTCATCAACAGGTACATCCTTACCCATCCCAGTACATGCACTCCACATCACAAGTCCCCAACGAGTCTAACAGCAGGTTAGCTGAAAGCATTTACTAGGAGTTTTTTAAAAAAGATGTGGCAATAACGAGGAGTTATTCTGGCACGGTGAGTTTGGCTCAGCCTCTCCCAGCCTCACGCTCCCGCTTGGTCCCACAGCCTCACACCGCAGCCCCACGACTCCTCGCCTCGGTCCCTCGCACTCTCCTCCCCTCAGCCGCTTCCCCTTCGGAGCTGCTGAACGAGATGAGGAGCAGAGACGGCGGCGGGAGATTGAGCAAGAGCAGGGGGGGAGCGAAGGGAAAGACAGACG